AAGTTTAGCCCCAGACTTGCTTTTAAGGTTCTACATATTTTATCTGTGATGAATTACATTATTCTCACTCTTAGAGATGGAATATCATCTTTATTTTAACAGACTTCTATGGAGGCACGTGGGTTCCATAAAAAATGAGTAACGCGAATGTTGTCTTTTTTTTTTTTTAAAGAGTTTCATTTTATTCTACTACTGACATAGTAAGCTCTATTATCCAAAAGCCAAAATGCAACCTAACGTATCTAAATGAAATATCCAGGAAATCTCCTTATAGTTCTTTCAGCATTCTTCTAAATAAGATTATTTCTTTCCTATGTTCCTAGTCTAAAAACTTTAACTCCATCCTCTAGAATAAAGGAAAACTATTGAAATTCTTATTTTCTCCTAAAATCTATGACTTGCCCATAATTGTGGGACTCAATGAATTCTCCTATTGACTGAAAATATATTTATATCTTCATTCAACAAACAATTCTCAGGCCAGGCGCAGTGGCTCACGCCTGTAATCCCAGTACTTTGGGAGGCTGAGGCAGGCAGATCACTTGAGGTCAGGAGTTTGAGACCAGCCTGACCAACATGCAAAAACCCCGTCTCTAATAAAAATACAAAATTAGGCGGGCGTGGTGGCGCATGCCTGTAATCCAAGCTACTCAGGAGGCTGAGGCAGGAGAATCACTTGAACCCAGGAGGCGGAGGTGGTGGTGAACTGAGAGCACATCATTGCACTCCAGCTTGGGCAACAAGAGTGAAACTCTGTTTCAAACAAACACACAAACAAACACACAAAAAAACAATTCTCAGCAATAGAAAGGAAAAATCACAACTGGATACTTTTGTGCATTTAAAATCATAATGAAAAAGAATATCATAATATGATATTTTCATGTAACAAATAATCATATATGTATATATAATATATACACTGGATGCTGAGGGACGACTGTATATATACACACACACGTACAGTCATCCCTCGGTATCCTAGGGGGACTGGTTCCAGGACTCCTGCAGATACCAAAATCCATGGATGCTCAAGTCCCTTATATAAAATGGTGTAGTATTTGCATATAATCTACACATATCCTTTCATATACTTTAAATCATCTCTAGATTACTGATAATACTTAACACAATGTAAATGCTATGTAAATAATTGTTATATTGTTTAGATAGTAATGACATGAAAAAAAGATCTGTACATGTTTAATGCAGACACAACCATCCATTTTTTTCTGAATATTTTAAATCTACAGTTGGTTGAATCCATGAATGTGGAACCCATGATATGGAAGGATGACTTTATATATCATATATATTTTTCATATATGATGTTTTCACATAATGAAAACATCATATATATGTACATATGGAGCTATATCTATATTGATATAGTACTCCTTATCTTGATTTTATCTTCAACTTGCCTTATCTTGATTTTTACAATTATCATTTAAACAGGGGAAGAAATATTATTTCCATTTTATAGGTGAAATGAAAAAAGATTCAGAAAGTTAAGTGACTGATTCAAACTCTCAAACCTATCAAGTAGCATAGCCAAGATTTGAACTAGTCAGTCTTTTCAGTATGTTTCACTATGATAAAATTATAAGCACTGTTAGAAATATTCAATATTTAATCAATTTCCTTGATAACATATTTCAATAACAATTTTTAGTACTATCTGTACCAACTAATTTTTATAGTAAGTTACAGCTCTGTGCGTGTATGCAGAAAAAGCATAAACTTTAAAGGAAAAAAACACTGACCATTTACATGGATTGCAATAGAAATCGCTTTCCTAATGACAGGAAAGGTCTCATGCAACTAATGAGAATAATTAAACTATATAAAAGCACCGAGACCAACTACCTTTAATAATTGGATTTCTGCCCTTAGCATTTTTTATGACATTAGAAAATACGTTGATTTCTCTGTCTGAATTAAGATACATAATGCTTGTTAAGGTCAAGAGAAAAGAATACTTTTTATACCGGACATTATGGGGTCGCCTTGAAGGGTGTGAGACCTAATTTATGAAGGTAGACATTCACATCATCCCTCCTTTTGTTCATGTGCACATCATTGCATCGGCTGGCTGTTTTATATCATATGTTCTCCAAAATAGAGTTCTATTATTACTGCTTTTTCTAACATCTCTCTATTAGTATCTCACTCTCTACCCGGGCTTCCCTGTCATTACCTCCTACATTCTGAGAAGTCTACATTCTTATAAAGAAATTAAATAAAAGGTATAAGTATAGCTAGAGCCCAAGCCAGCCCACCAAAACTCAGAGGCCAGATTGTCCCAAGGAAACCAACCTGAAAGTAATAATGCTAATAATATTTATTTGGATAATGTTTTAGAGATTCTTCCTATATGTTTAAAATTTATTAAAGATAATTTAGACCATTAGCCTTTAGAATATTGCATTAACACACAATATCTATTTTTATTATTTAATCCATTATACTGTATTAAGAAATTGATTATATCCTTCTAAAAATACTACCATTAACTTGCAGATATCTACTAATGTGTGATCCTGTTTGTAGATTAATCAAGGCCCCTTGATTTTCATACCCCCCCACTTGAGCGCTGGACAAAAAAAGTGGCAAACTATTAAATCAAGAAAAGCTGTAGAAGGGCTTTTGGAAAAGAGATAAATTCACATAGATAAAACAATATAACAAAAATCTTCCTGATCACAATACTTTTTTTGCCTGACTTTAGTACCTTCTCACTGAAGTATGAATGGTAAAGTAGAAGGGGTAGAAATACTGACTACAGAAATACAGGTAATACAGTAGGGGTCAAAAGAAATGTGCAATGCTACTTCCTAACACACAATCCTTCTTTCAAGATCACATTTTCATGCATTTATGTATAAAAAAATCATTAATTTGAATTTAAAAAACTGTTGTTATGTAATGAATGACTTTATTATTGACTTTCAGTATCTCTTTTAATGTATTCTATGGAGCTTCCCATGTCTGTTCATAAAATTTAGGGCAGATTTCATGTTTTTACTCATTTATAGGCAATCAAAATACTCAGCAATTAATATGTCTAGTCTAGCCCACTACTAAAAATGCTGAAGTCCTGTTACAGGCACCTGCCATGAGACAGGGTGGTTAGAATCCCACTTGCAGATCCTTTGATTTAATTGAGGCTCTTTCTCAGCTTACTGCTCCCGAGAAGATGGCAGTTCAGTCGACTTTTGGGATCACTAGGACCCTCCAGGCAGTCTTTGGAGTTAAGACAACCTTGTATCATCTTTTTTGTGGATATGGTCCACCTCTGATCCATGACATACACTTAAGCAACATTTGCCTAACAGTCACCTGTCACTCCACCTTCAAAGCAGCTGGCCAATCAGTCTCATGTTCTTTAGATTTCTTAGGCATGTGTAAGCTAGCTGGTCTTAAATGGAAGGGGTCACTTACTAAGTTCTACATCTCTTAAAGCCTTCCTCTCTTGGATTCAGATGAAAGGAGACCTTCCTTTCCTTCCCCTTGGAGGTGTGATGGGACACTTAGCACACTAACAACTCTCTCCAAACATCCTCCTTTCCTTAATTTTGACCCTCTCAATCCTTTTATATCCTTGACATGATTAAGTAGCTTAAGAATCACATAACTGGCTTTTTCCCTTCTGCTCACGTAAGAACTGGAGGGTGTCTTCATATCTCACCTTGAAATCTTCTGTCTTAGGGGCCATAGCTAAAACAAATAAGGAGAGTTCCATTTTAAAATTCTGTTACACATGGTTGCAAACTCGCATCATACTCAAGAAGTTATGGGAAAGAATTGTCTTATTTTATTTTATTTAATTTTACCAAATAAAGAGCAAATGCTAGCAGATAATTTGAAAATTTTTATTGCTGAAGATCACTGAATGAACAGTACTTACTTACCAACATGTTTTCATTTGCCAACCATATGCTATCTTCATAACAATAAAAATGTAAAATTATTGATGATTTTCATGTACCAAGGATGAATGCTCAAATGCTAAGAAAACATTCATACTACTCTGCACCCAAAACTGCTAACCTTATTTCCATAGAGGAATCTCTATATAGAACCCAGAGGTAAACAAAAGCCCAGGGAGAGGAAAACGTCTGTCCTTTTGGCAACATTATCGTATTATAAGCTCTTAAGAAATAATTAACCTCATAGACGTCAAATAGAGATTTTATATAAAGAAGATACTGGCTCCAGGAAAGTGTCAAATTGATTCTATGCAGAATGAAAATTGGGAGCTGATTTTAAGTCAACAGTTTTATAACATGGAGAAATGATTTCAAATGGATTCTGGTGGGTTTAAAAATTTTTCTCCAGAACTTTCAATGGTGCTTGATGAGAATTGAGCTTTGACTTCCATAGCACTTGGGTTTGAAATGCTTCTGGAACATCAGAAATCTTACTATTAAAATTTCAATATGACCCTTTTCCATTTTTGTGAACATCAGAAATACACTAGTTATATCACTATGGAACATTTTCCTTATAATTTGCCATTTTAACAAGTCTTTTCTTGGCCTTTTCAAATTTTACTTGCTCTTTTACCATTATCTGTTTTTAAGGTAGCTTTAATTGGCTTGAATTTTAAGTATTAGTGCAGGGTTTATATTGCAAAAAATGAATAATTTCTAAAAAAATTTAGTAACTAATTAAAACACTTTAGTACATTTCATCAAAACTGAGAATAATATAATTTACAATGCAATCTATCCAGAAACTGATTTGTGAGCACTTGCTTGTGGTTACTGATTGTCCCATAGACGTAGAGAAAGAACTATATGAACTATACTTGGGTACACAGTGAGCATGTTAAAATTAAGATGTAGCATTAATGTAAAATTCTTGGCAGAAGTCAAACCTTTAACCATCATGTGAATATAGATTTTCATATCTAATTTTATGAAGCCTTTTTTTTTTTTTTTTTTTTGCCAGTTCTACAGTCTAATATTATTTTCTTTCTGCATTCTCCTTCACAGGCTATGGCCTTTGGCGAAGACAATGACAGGCAAATATTTATAAGCCAGAGATTAGTTATAAATTTGATCCAATCAAATGATCAGTAAGCACATTCTTATTGCCAGTTGTTATTATCTCTTTAGGAAAGGCATTGGAAACTTTCATTTTGTTAATTTCAAATCAGACAATTTCCCAGAACTAATTGAGGTTCCAGTGTCCAATGGAAAGCTGAAAGAACCTAAATTTGCTTCTTTTCCTTCTTCACTCCTTTCTTTGTGTGTATACATATTTGTGTATGTGCACAAGTATAAAGAAATGATTATTTTTGCAGCTTTTGGCCTGAATGCTTGTCACTCCATTTTACATAATTCATTTTATATAATTCAATTTATGCTCTTCCAAAAATAGATGCTTCAGTTGCAATCTTCGCCTCTTTAGAATCTCCATGCAAGCAAGCTTAGTTAATAATTTTTGATTAATATAGCCAAATACCAACTCCTACTTCAAACCCCCTTTACTTGGAATACTATCATCAGCTTGGTTTACAGAGAGAAGGAAATAACAATGAGGTCAGGAGGAATGGAGATGGGGTAAAATAGCAATAAAAAGTAATTATATAAAAATGCTAAAGGTATGACATCTGTTTTTTTGCTTAGCTCACTGAGCTCGATAGTTTCAGATTTATGCTATTGTTCATGTTTAAACAGATACAAAAAAGGGAAATGGGAAAGAATGGTTATGTGAGACTATTAAATAGTGCAGGGAAAATACGAGTTGTTATTACACTGGTAAGGAAAAGAGAAACTCAGTGAAATTTCTTTCCAGAGATTTGCCTTTGTGATCTGCAAGGTGCTGTTCCCCTGCTTACATTCCGTTACCCTGGCAACGCACTCCTGTAAAATAAAGATTATTAAAGCGCATATGATTATTTTGCTGCTGAGTGAATAAGACAAGCCGCTTCTGAAATGCCTTATCAGAGAAATTCAATTTTAGGCCAAATTGTGTTTTTGCCTCCTTCTAGCTTTTCTCCTCCCTCCCCCTACTTCAAATAAAACCATCATCTTCACATTTACTACATGATATTTTGTTAGCCATTCACACCCTTAGTATTTTAAGTCAGTTTTCTTTTAATTTCATGAAAGCATTTTTCCCAATTTTTTTATAGCTCTAGTCTATTTTCCAGCTATCTACCATCTGTTTGCAAATCAAAATTACAAAGCAATGTGCTCTTGCTTTTATTTTATTATACAGCAAGAAATAGTAGAAATACTGGGTTCTATACCAAACATAAATGTATATATTATACATTGGCTATGCAATATTTGACCAAAGGATGATGCAAAAAGCTAAGATAAGGAATGTGGTGCCATTTTAAAGGCTGCATATCCAACTGTACTGGTCATCCTCACCCTTAAGTTGAATGCCTAGTGCTTTTCCATTTGACATTGCCCTAAGGTGACGTTATAGAGGTGGGAAGTTTTATAGCCACGCTGACAGCCAGTCACACCTTTGTTGCCTGGTGCCTCTACATTTGGAGAAAATATTCTTGAGAGTCCTAAAATTATTTAATAATAAACTTTATAAGTTTTGTATTTTATAAGTATTTTAATATTAGCCAATTTCTTGAACATACAGTAATGGCAACTTTGCTAAAACTATCTAGTGATTTCATTAGAAACTAAAGCTTTTAGCATAATTAGGGTCCAAGCAGAGGTCAACAAAAAATAAGTAAATTTGTAACAGTAAATGCATATTGTATTTCATGCTATCTGTGTGAAGAAGTTATCGTTTAAAATCTTTTTTTTTTTTTTTTTTTTTTTTTTTGAGACGGAGTGTCACCCAGGCTGGAGTGCAGTGGCACGATCTCGGCTCATTGCAACCTCCGCCTCCCAGCTTCGCGCCATTCTCCTGCCTCAGCCTCCCAAGTAGCTGGGACTACAGGCGCCTGCCACCACGGCCGGCTAAATTTTTGTATTTTTAGTAGAGACGGGGTTTCACCGTGTTAGCCAGGACAGTCTCGATCTCCTGACCTCGTGATCCACCCGCCTCCTTGGCCTCCCAAAGTGCTGGGATTACAGGCGTGAGCCATCGCGCCCAGCATTAAAATCTTTTAATACAAGAAAGAGTTACATCTGCTTTGAAGTAGAGGTGGAGGGAATGAAGTTTGTTCAGAAAAAGGCAAGCTTCCAACAAAGGCCACATAGAAGGCTCCTTACACATCTGTTAAAGCTAACACAAGACATGAATAGATAAGAACAGCCCTGGAGAAACCTTCATCCTGTCCTCTCCGACAGTGGATGGTTGAGGTGGATGATATTGTTTCTACTGAGACTCTTTATGGGATATTTTTCCCACTGCTACAAAACACTGGCATATAACCTAATACTGCTATGTCATGAAAAAAAAGCAGAAGTACAGTGTTGATATTATAATAACATGAAAACATTAATATTTTCTCTGTTAACACTCATTTTCAGGCCCAACCAGGCACCATACTCTTCCATTGATTAAGCATGCAGGCCCATTGGCTTTTTGTGTAATTAACTACAAATCACTGCTTATTACTAAGAAATAACATTGATATTTAACAAGTTTGAGACACTCTCAGCACATGTAGAATGAAATATCAATTCTTCTAACGAAGTAAATAAAATTTAGTATTGTACATCCAATCTTTTGTATGTTAACACCACCATGGAACTTATGACTGTAATTCACTCCCAGCACTGCCCAGAAGGTGTCACCACAGCCTCATTGGCTTGAAGGACTTGGGGACATGTGGGGGAGTAGAAAGCAAGGGGAGAAAAACAGACACAAAGAAAAAAAAAATCTTCATGCAGACAAAGGAATATAAGACAACTACTAGTTGTAATATATTGCCAAATACAGAAACCCAAACATTCACCCTATGCTAAAACTACATAATTACTACAGGAGAAAAGTGGGCCTCTATTTGTCAGCGAGAGTAGAAAGTGGGAGATTCATGGACGGTGTTACTTGAGACAGTCATTTTGTAGAAAATAAAAAGCAGGTGATAAATAGAAAATATCCATGTACTGAGCCTGGTCCAAGCTTCTCACCTAAAATGGTTTGCCTCCTTATCACATCTAGTTGCATAAGATGCACTGGACCACATAAAAGGAAAGATAAAAGAACAGCTGTGAAGAGATGCTATGAAGAATCAAAGAATAGAAAACACAAAGTCTTTTATTGAGAAGCTGCACAAATTAACTCCAAATTACTGCCACAGTCAGACAAGAGGAGGCTTCAAGGCACAAAACTTGTTGCTGCACTCCATCTTGCTTTATTGTGGTGTCTTCACTCATGTAGCTAAAAGCCATCCCCTTTATAGTACTATATCTTTTAATCTCCACTCTCCCCCCTGTCGTTTAATTAAAAGACAATGAACCTTTTAAAGTAGTCAAATGGAAAATATAAAATTGCACCATTCTATCAAAGCTTAAGATATTCCTTTCTCAGAGCATGAGAAGAATTCAAAATAACATACTTTGTATTTTACTACACTTCAGTCCCTCTGTGCCATTTCTTCTTCAGGGCTCTTGGTTGGAATAGCTACCTGAACCAGAAAGGCAGCTCACCCTCAGGCTGATAAATAGAGATAAAATTAAAAAAAAGTAAACAAACAAAAAACCCCAAAAAAACAAAACAAAACAAAACAAAAATAACAGTCAAGTTAAATCAACTAGATCTTTGTACCTGATTTTTTACTTTTAAGTAATATTATTGTAATTCTGCATTCCTTCTATGTTTAACTGACATAGGCCTAAAGATTAGTAGCATTTCTTATGTAAGTATTATTTACTCAATGTGTTGTCAGTTTTAGGGTATGTGGGCTAAAATAAGATAAACATAGTAAAATGTTATTGGATGATAAGTAGGCCTGAATGCTCAGTTTTCCGCCAACTCCACAGCCTAAATCTATTAGTTTTGGCAAAGGGCACCAAGACAAATCCATGCTGTTTGAAATGTTCCATGGGAGTCTTTAAAAACGAAGATCTTGTCTACTCTTTATGGACATTAAAATGCTTCATCCCAAGGACCCCTTTATAGCAAATTGCAAGCTGTTCTGTTTTATCTGCTTTGACAGGATGAAGGGCTGAGTTGGCCCTAGAGGGATGGGATACAGAGTCTGAGTAGCTCAAACTTGAGATTTCCAATAAACCATCTCCTACAATTAGAAGAAAGGCACAGAGGAGATTCATTTCAACAGATAGTTCCAACCCATTTAGAATTATTCTATTCTCTCCTACTTATTTCATCACTAAAAGTCTAACAAAAATCATGTTCTTCCAATACTCCACTCCAAACTGAACCTAAAACTCTAATAATCAGCCTAGTTGAGCACTGGCATATATACATCTTTCTGATTGGTCTCTTGATTCTGATACCTATTATATTGATTCCTGATTTCTTATAAATTCATATCCTTTTCAACACTATACTTACCTGATCATTATTCTTTAAGTTCAATTGTCCAGTATAGGTTGCCTATCATTCTCCATAAAAGAAATACTTGCAGATTTCAGTTAGTTAATAAATGCTGGCAGGGCATGAGATATAGGTTTAATTCTTCATCTATAGATGCCTAATATAGGAACCTTGCTAAAAACTTCCAGACACCACTCAATTCATTAATGCCAACTCTCTCCCTTTCTTTTACCCTTCTGTAATTAGGACGTCTCTTTTTTGAATGTCATCACATATGATAATATATGGAGAGTCTGAACTGTTAACATCGAAAAAATGATTCTTCCCTTTAGAATGTGAAATTATAATAAGTAATCCTATTTTTAAAAGTCCCCAAAGCCACATACTCACAAGTACACCTCTATGTAAGTCAGCTTATAAAAGTAATAAAAATGAGGGCCAGGTGCGGTGGCTCATGCCTGTAATCCCAGCACTTTGGGAGGCCGAGGCGGGTGGATCATGGGGTCAGGAGTTCAAGACCAGCCTGACCAAAAAGGTGAAACCCCATCTCTACTAAAAATACAAAAGTCAGCCAGGTTTGGTGGCACATGCCTGTGGTCCCAGCTACTCAGGAGGCTGAGGCAGGAGAATCGTTTGAACCTGGGCGGCGGAGGTTGCGGTGAGCCAAGGTCGTGCCACGGCACTCCAGCCTGGGCGACAGAGTGAGACTCTGTCTCAAAAAAAAGGAATAAAAATGAAAAGATGGGGAAAAGAAGTCTCTCATCACCACCTCCAAGACTTTAACAGTAGTAAAAATAATAATTTATCATGAAAGATCCCACTAGTTCAGGGAATATTCCTCAAACATACTCCGAAATCTTACGGTACCTTATACAATAGCTGAAGCTCTGATAATGCGAAAATCATCCAGTCTGTTCCTGTCTCGGGTTTCTTATTTCTCTATACCAAAGCATCATTAAAATTGCACAAATTTGCCAAAAGGAAGAAGAGAATATAATGCACACGTCACAACAATTAAAATAAAAAAGCATTTAAAAATGATTTAAAGCACAGGCGTTCAAATCAGACAAATCCGAATTTGAATATTGGTTCGGTTGACTACTGACAAGTTCTTGAACAGTCTAAAATTCAATTTATTCTTCTATTAAAAAAAAACCAATAATAATAACTTTGAAGGGTTATTGTAACTGAATAATATAGGTAAAATGCTCAGCATAGTGCTTGTCATATAGCAAATAAATATTCACATACTAGTTACTATGGAAAGAATTTTCCCGGGGGAGGGGGATCTCTCGGAGAATGAAAATATTCATTTTATATGACTTGTTTTATAATAAGAAAATAACATTCAATATGGAAGAACAAATACAAGTTTCACCCTGTTGACAATTCAAAATTAACCTAAAGAATAAATATTGCTCAGTGCAGTGACTCACACCTGTAATCTCAGCACTTTGGGGGACCAAGTGGGTAGATGGCT